GGACGCCGAGTCGAATGCAGCGGCGGCTTTGGCGGCGGCGGCTTCCTCGCGCTTTTTTGCGATGCTGCGCTGGTTCTGGAACCAGTTTGTCACACTCTGATAGCGCCTATCAGGACCGGAGAAGGCGACATGTCGGGGAATGAAGTGATGGGAATTTGTCCGATGCGGAGGACAGGGGGCGCCACAGAAGGAAAACAAGGTCAATCAGCGTCCGCCTTCCTAATCGGCTGCGTCGTATGACAACCGTGGTTGACTTGGACTCACATTCCAATCTTGCGCCCCAGCGCCTCCCGCTCGTCTCGAGACGGGTGCGCTTTGCGTTCGTACAGCTTCTTCAGCTCCTCCGTCTGCGCCGCGCTCGGACGGGAGCGGGCTTTGCGCGGCATGCCCCCTTCGACTTCGTACAGGTGTTTGTGCTGGGGATTGCCGGCGTAAAAGAGCGTGTGCTGTTGTGGCGCCTGATCAGACAATGGCAGATACCCCTCCTCGTCGGAAAAGTCGTCGTAGTCGAGCGGCTGCTGTTGTTGCTGCAACTGTTGCAGCTGCGCGGGTGGTGCAGAAACGGACGCAATGAGCGCAGATATAGGCGGGAGCTCGCATTGAGTGAGCGGGGCTTTGTGCCGCTTCTTTGACGAGGCTCGTTTATTTTGGAACCAGGAGTTCACCGTCTTTGTCTCCCTGCAGATTTGCCACGGCTGCCGTGAGCGCCCGCGAGATAATGGAGGTAAAAGTGGGGGACGTACATTCCGAGCCTGTGTGCCAACGCCGTGCGGTCCTCTAATGACGGGTGCTCGTTCTTCTCGTAGAGCTCGTTGAGGGCGGCGAGCTGGGAGGCGGAATGGCGGTGACGGGGCTTCTTGTTCTGGTCAGCCCGATCCTTGGCCGAGGGCAGCTTCGAGGAGGCGGCCGCAGGGGGCTGGTCCCAGAGAGCGAGGGAGGGATGGAGGGCAGACATGAGGGCGGGGGCGCAGAGCGGCGGCGGAGATGGGGGGAGGAGGGAAGGAGCTGGAGAGGGACCGGAGGGGCTAATGGAAAATCAAGGAGAGCTTATAGCAGCAGTCGAGGAGCATTCGAGCGACATGTCTCACGGCTCATGCAGACAGAGACTGATATCCGTCATCACTACTGCAAATGGCCGACATCGGCCGGCTGCAATGATCTCCCCCGCCAAAGCGCTGCACCCATCTTTTTGCCTCTCGCCCATTCGCTCAGCTGCACACCGGCCCTTTGTAGTAGCTGCTGCACACACATCGCACCCTGCCCGCACTCGAGCGCACCTCTGTGAGCACGCACAGAGGTCTCAGGCTGATGGGAAGCGAGGGTTTGAAATGGAAGAACGAGTAATTATGACAGTTGATATGGGTCGGTTAGGAATAAGAGACAGAGCTGTGCCTGTGAGTTCATCCCTGTGCGCTTGATGACTACCAACTCGGTATAATCGGCCGTTTATGGGCGCCTATATATAGCACTTTTGCCAGTCCCGTTCCAGGCCCGTTTCCGCATCTCTCGGAAGCCCATCCTCCGTCTGCTTTCCTATACAGCTGTGCTCCGACCTCGCCCGAGCTGCACGGCGAGAGGGGGTGCGCGTCGGGCAGGGTGGGGACGACGAAGGTTGGGAAGGAGATGGGAAGGGGCTGGAAGGGGCAGAGGATGCTGGTCGAGCTGCTATGGATCTCGATAGTACCGGATGGGCGTGCACGTGTTTGTGGACCGCGCAATCCATGACGGCGCAGCGGCGTCATCCAATCCCCGCACTCCCTCGTGTTTCTGCGCTCGCTCCACAACGCCAGCCCGGCTCTCTCAGCAGCCTGCGCTATCGGACGCCTGCTATTAACAACCCGTCTGCTCCCAGCTGCCTTCGCACGCACCCTCCCATGCATCCCGTCGTCCTCCCATCTCTTCCGATGTCAGCGTGAGTTCGCAGATGCGATGGCCCGTTGCACCGCACGCCACGCCACGCCACGCCAATGCTAACAGCACGCTGTATTATACTTACGCATACACTACTAGATCCGCCATCTCTGATTAATATCCCCTTCGAGTTCCCCGTCCAGTGCTCGCCCGCGCCCCTGCGCTATCAGCTCACGCCCTCGAATTCGTCTTCCTCTGACCCGAGCTGGCCTTCGCCGATGTTTTTTATCCATGCGCCGATAGCCCCCCTGTGCGTGCGTGGCACGAGCGCATGACAAATAAGCATCGTCCGATCAATCCCCGCCGAAACGCAAATCGCAGGCACTCACAGGAAGCCTTCGTGTCGCAGGAAGAGCGCGCGCTTCGTGCCCTTGCTCCAGAACCGGATCGCATACGAGAGCGTGCTGATCGTCGCCGCGTGCCCTGCGCATGGCCGCCGTCAGCACCAGGCAATTAGATGCGGCGCGCGCGAGACTGCTCGAGGGCCGCGCGGTGCGGGCAGCAACGCACGACGCACCTCGAATAAAGTACCCGCCAAAGTATATCCGGTCTAGATTGTACTTCTCCGCGTTCATGTATCTGGGCACGGCGATCGCGGGCGTAAGCATACTTGTGCACGTCTGCTAAGCCCGGCCCCGCGCGCCGCCACGCACGCCTAGCGCGTCGGAGTGGCGACGAAGCGCATGAGACAGGAGGGAGGGGGACTCACGCTATCTGCCCGATGTTGTTCGAGATCGCGTATAGGAGACTCTTGCTGATGTCCTCCGGGCTGAACGTGCCGCGCTTCCCGCCCTGCTTCTTGAACACCTTGCCGAACGTACTCGCGATCATCGTCGACTTCAGCCCGAGCTTGCTGTAGTCGGACCCGTAGATGTCGCCGACGAGCATGTCCACCGTCTCGTTGTCGCCCTTTTCTGAGAGCGCGAGCATCTCTGTCGAAAGTGTAAGATGAGCGCAGGTTACGCGCAAGCCGTGTAGCACGCACCGTCAAACGTTGTCGCTGGGGTCAGAAGACTCAATAGGCCCCACAACGTCCCGCCACCCAAGCTCGTCCCGCTCACACGCTCAAACGACCCGTCCTCGTCCACCTTCACGATCGACACGCCCGACCCGATATTCACCAGCAAACACGGCAGCTGCGGCACCGGGTCCTGCACGAACGTCACCGCATACTTCGGCGGGTCCGGGCTCGGCCGCTCGAGCTGGCTCAGCGGGTGCGACACCGAGTGTATCAGCTCGTCCGAGAAGTAGTACACCTCGTCCGGGATGAGCGTGATGAACTTGAGGCCCTCGATCAGACACGCCATCTCGTCCTCGCGGTGCACGCCGACGCGCAGCGCGGCGGCGAGCTGCGCGTAGAAGCGGTGCGCGCCGCCGCCCGTCGCGATCACCTTCACGCCGCGCCGCATCTCGCCGAGCGGCACGCCGTTCACCGCCGCGCTGCGCTCGATGAGCGTGCGGATGAACTCGATGCACTCGTCGAGGTGCTCCGTCTCGAACCGCTCGAAGTTCAGCGAGCCGCCTGGGAAGTGCTGCACTGACGCGCGCCGCAGGAGCGAGTCCGTCAGCAGGCTGTGGTGCTGCACGGACTCGGGCGAGAGCGACGCGGTCGCGGTCCCGTCGAGCGTTGACGAGGCGGACGCTGCCGTCGACTCTGCGCCGGAGGGGTTGAAGTAGCTTCCTTGTCCATTACAGTGCTCGAGGACCGCGGGTGTGAGCGCGCCCTTCAGGTGACCATTCGCCTTTGACGGTAATGGTGACGACAGGGGGCTGTCCTTGGTCGGCGAGGAGGATAGCGGGGTCGCTATACTACTTGGACTAGATCCGCGTGTGGCGATCTGGGAGGGGGAGGATGGCGGGTTGGTCGACCGGGTGAAATAGATCACCTTTGCGAGGGAGCCTCCGATCTGTACGCCGTGAGCACCGTACCGTACCGTAGGACGACGACTTGACTTACATCGACTGCTATGTGCGACACAGGCTCGATGTAGTTGGGGAAATAGATGCCGCGGCTGTCGCGCGTCTGCTCGTGTGCAAGTGGGGAGTTGCCGCGAAGAGGAGGCGGGTGGACAAAGGAGAGCAGCGCGGATCGCGCGAACCTCAGAAGTGCGCTCTATGATGCCATGTCGCGCTGACGCACCTCTGGTGACTCCTCGTCAAGAATCATTGCGCCCCGGGTGTCCACCTGGATCGTCTTGGCGGTGGGCAGCGAGGGCCCTGCTGCGGGCATGTCTCCTGAGTGCCGGGTGCTGGAGGGCATTTGCGATGTTCGTGTAGACTCCGTAGAGGTAGATGGGTAACCCAAGACGAGCGCGTAGAGGTTTATACCAAGTGTGTCCTCAGAGAAGCCGGATAGCCGAGGATTCGTGTAAACGGAGGACGTGTCGGTCGAAAACCCCAGCTCCTATCGTATGATGCGCGCAGTCGAGCAAGCGTTACTCAAGCGGCAGAGGGCGGGGATAGAGGCCTCGTTGGGGGATGTGGTACGACACCGTTCGCGGCTGCTCGGAGTACGAGTCGTTGGGGTACATGTAACATCAGGGAGATGCGGGGTAGGCTTCAGATTTCGGTGGCCCGCCTCCGATCGCGCGCGCCCGACTCCCTGCTCTTCTTCCACGACCCTGTCGTCCGCACCCAGCCCGACAGTCCCCGACTGAACCACGCGCCCTGGCAGGCCCTGGCGGACCCTCACAGACCCTCACGGAGATCAGCTTGGCCCCTTTCCGGCCAATGCAATGCCGTCAATTCCGACCCGTCCGTGGGCGTGTTCTTTGGGTTCCGTCTATGTACAACTCCCGGGCTTCCGATATCCGGAACCCCATAAGCTCTCATCTACGCCTTTCGCCGTCCTGCTGTGCTGGAAGATGGCTGACCGTTGGCTGACAAGGGCTGACTGATGTACAACCTTGGTGAAACCGCTGCAAGTTTCGTTTATTGTGCGACCCCGCGTCGCCAGGGATGTTTCTGGCGCTTAATACGCACGAACTAGGGGACTTCGTACTTCTGAAGTACTTCCGTAGTACCATGAGAAGTACTACGAAAGTACCATGGTATGTACTTTCCACGTGGTTGGTAAAAAGAAGCAAACTTGAACCCTGCCCGGATCGAACGGACGACCTTGAGGATCTCCCTACTGGAATCTCACGCGCTACCGCTGCGCCAAGGGTTCTTGAAAGGGAGTAACTTAATGCTACTATAGTCTTTTCTATCAGGCCCTCACCCGGAGTTGGTGTGCGGCGCTCGGTGAAGGCAAGCCAAAGTTCAAGTACTTTCATCATGATAACTTAGTACAGGTAATCCCATGACCAGCCTCGCCTCGTCTGATCCTAGGACACAAACGAGTTCGCGAAGACAGCAAGAAAGTATACGTATGTGGCCTGGGGCTGTACTAAATCGCTCTAGTTAAGCAGTGCTTTCACTTGCTTATCCCAGTACTGCAATGGCCTCTCATCGAAACCAAAGAAGACGCGAGGACTCTCTGAACACCGCCGTCAAACCGCGAACAAACCCACCAAGGCCTCCTTCCATCTGTCAGGCCTGCTGGAAGGGTCCTTTTGCTACCCAGCTGGGGCTCTTCAGCCCGTTGATTACACGAGAAGACGGCGATATTGGGACGTCCCTAAGAGACCTGGACGTTCTCGGAGGATACTCGTATTCGGTCCGCTGGGCAGTACTGGAGTCTCGCGCTAAGAGGGGCTGCCAATGGTGTCAATTCCTGTCCACCCATGTACAGTCCGAAATCCCGGAGCTTGCATCAAACACTCAGTTGAGAGTCGTAGTAGGCATGGATTCGATGAACTTGCCCAACGAATGCACGCCGGACGGCGCTCAGATATTGTCCGTCTACGTGAACGGCATAGAACTGTTAATGGGCCCTGTGTACGCGGATGCAGGTGGGTCAGCCCGTGTGCATGACTGTAGGCAACTGCAGAATAACTAACCCCCAACTTTGACCACAGACGACCCGGCAGCAGCGCACATCGTCTCACGAAGCCCTGTTTTGGATGTAGGGTCACCCCGTGTCTTAGCCCTTGCAAAAGCACGTGTAGAAGAGTGTTTGATACAACACGAATGCTGCAGGGAATTCTCGGAAGCCGACGCACCGCTCCCTACACGCGTCCTCGATTGCACCGACCCAAGCCACCCCCGCCTGGTCACCACCAAGGGGAAACGTGGTGCTTACATTGCGCTCAGCTACGTATGGGGAGAAGATCAACCCCACCGCACGACTTTGGCCAACATATCATCATACACGAACGGCATCAACCTCGCATCGCTCCCCCAAACCGTCCGCGACGCGATTCATGTCACACACGCGCTTGGAATATCTTTTTTGTGGATCGATAGCCTGTGCATCATCCAGGACTCGGACTTGGACAAGCAAGAGGAGATCACCCAGATGCGTCACATCTACCGCAACGCGCACCTCACCGTCATCGCCGCGAGCGCGCGCAAAGTGAGCGAGGGGTTCCTCCAAGACCGTTCCGCCACTCCCGAGATCTGGCATGATGCCCATCCGCACATAATCATTCCTTTCTTATGCCCACCCGTCCCCGGAGAGCCTTCGGACCGCGAGGCGACCGCCTGCAGAGTGGGCACGGTTCACATCGCCCCCGAATTCCTGTCCTCCCAGACGTACCCGCTGTACGACCGTACGCGCGAGCCGATCAGCGCGCGGGGCTGGTGCATGCAAGAGTACTTCGTCTCCCCGCGCGCGCTTGTCTTTGCCTCGCACACGCTGCTCCTCCGCTGCCAGACGACCACGCGCTGCATCGGCGACGCGTTCCACAGCCTCTACCGTGACACGCGCCTCCCGCCCGTGCTCTTTCGCGCAGACCATGACCCGGGCCCCACGCACGCACACAGCATGCAGCCTGGCGCGCCGGAATGGCTCGCGGTCCGCGAGGCGTGGATGGCCATCGTGCCCGACTACACGGCGCGAGCGATCGGGGTCCCCGCGGACAAGCTCGTCGCGTTCGGCGCGGTGGCGGAGATGTTCCAGCGCGTGCTGCGCACGGAGTACCTCGCGGGCCTCTGGCGCAACACGCTGCTGCTGGACTTGTCTTGGAGCAAGGGCGTGTCGCACATCGTGCAGTACCCGCGCCCTGTGGCGTACCGCGCGCCGTCGTGGTCGTGGGCTTCCGTCGACGGGGAGGTCGTCGTGGACGCCGCGGTGTATGCCAAGTACGAGGACGCCGTCGCGGAGATCGTAGAGTGCGTAGTCGTTCTAGAGAACGCTCAGCTCCCATTTGAGCGGGTCGCCGGCGGGTTCCTCGTGCTGCATGCGCCGATCCTGGGCTGTGTGTGGTACCCAGTCGATGATGGAGACACGATCAACTATCGGGTTCTTCTGCAGAACGCAAGAGGAGCACGAATAAACTGCGGTGTCGGTAGCGATAAGGATGAACAGGTAGATGGGGAGTACAACGTGTCGGAAACTGTGGACACGGGAAACTTGATCTACGCCTATGTTGATAGCGCCGACGACGCGGAGAAAGCGATGGATGGTCCCATGTGGGCCGTGCCGCTGTTTCAGCAGGAAAAGTTATGGGAGGGCCTCATCATCGTCCCGGCTGATTCTAATCCACCGACAAAGGCGATATTGGAGACCTCGCCGTACGCAAGGACTTCTGGCCGAGGTGTTTATCGCAGAGCTGGATACTTCACGTTTGACCGTGAAATAGACCTCCATGCCTTAGGTTGGGACGATTTACCATTTGTAGAGATCGTACTGGTATGAATAGACCGGCCGTCTGTGATTCTGAACTCGAACTGCACGCAAACACATGTGTAGTAGACAGCCTATAGTACAAAACGATGTTTCAGTGCTGCTGTGCACACGATCTAAGCCGCGATGTCCTGCGTCAAGACGTAACGATACCGCGCCTTCCCGTCATGCAGCGCTTCTAGCGCAACCTTCGCTTGGTTCATTGGAAGCTCCTCAATCCACGGCACAATATTCTTCTCCGCTGCGAGCTCCAGCATCGCCACTGCGTCCGCCTTCGAGCCCAGCAACGAGCCGCCAATGGACGCCGCATTCCGCGCCAGGAAGAATGGGTGTATACCGGGAAGCGGCTCGTCCATCGGCGGGAGCCCGACAGTGATGTACCGGCCCTGGACGTAGAGCATCGAGAGGATATTCGGGAGCGTCGTGTCGGGGCCGAAGTGGTCGACGGTCGAGATAATGAGGTCCAGGCTAAACGCATACGGCTCCCAAAACGCCTGGCGCGGGCGTTAGCGACGAACACGCACGAGCTAGACGGGGATAAGAGCCTACCTCGGCGTTGGTGTCGACGACGTGGTCTGCACCGAGTTTCCTCGCGTCTTCCGCCTTCTTGTTGCCCCTCGTGAAGGCATACACCTCCGCGCCCATGGCTTTCGCGAAGAGAATCGCGTAGTGGCCGACACCCCCGATGCCGATGACGCCCACCTTCTTCCCCGGGCCGCATCCGTTGGCGCGGAGTGGGTGAAAGGCGGTGAGCCCGCCGCACATCATCGACGCCGCATGTCGGGACTCGACCTTGTCCGGGATGGGGAACACGAAGCGCTGGTGCGCCCGAATCCCCGTCGCGAAACCGCCCTGGCTGGGCACCCCGTCCCGGTGCGTCGCGTTCTGCACACAAGCGGAGGTTATGAGCGTTACTGATTTATTGCCCCGAGCCGCCAATGCACTCACCAGCGTGATCACCAGCTGTGTGCAGTAGTTCTCGAGCCCTTCCATGCACGGACGGCACGCGCCGCAGCTATCGACGCCGCCCCCGACGCCGACACGGTCGCCGGGGCGGACGGCCTGAACGAGGTCGCCGACGCGGGTGACGGTGCCGACGATCTCGTGCCCGACGACCGTCGGCCCCGCGCGCGCGGGGCTCCAGCTCTGGTGCAGGGTGTGCACGTCCGAGCCGCACACGCCGCAGTGCGTGATCGCGAGCTCGACGTCCTCAGGCCCGAACGTCTTCGGCTGGAACTCGACGAGCTGCAGGTCGGACCACGCGGCGGCGTCTGCGCGGGGCGGGGGGAGGGGGGCGTGGGTGAGCAACAGGCATTTATCAATTCCGCAGAAGCGAGAAGCGGGGCGCACCTGTCATGGCGTAGCCCATGAATTTGAGCTCCTTCGGCGTGGACATCGTTGCGACGGTGGGCTATACAAATTGCTTTGGCGGTGGTGGATTTCTGATTTTGAGTGTTTGATGCGCGCTTTGGGTCGTCCTTGTGGTGGGCTGGTGGGTGGGGAGTGAATGGGGAGACAATCTGCTGGAGGGTGCGCCTTTTATCTTCTCGACCTGCCGCTCGCCTGCCATTCGCAATGGACTAATTCTCCTAGAAGGGCCATACATCAGCTTCTTAAATTCCATCGAGAGCGTAACCCTTGGGGAAGGTCTTCACGGATCAGCCCCTTCCGCGCAAACATTGGCGGGCCTAGCGTCCTCATGTCTTCATGCTTTCCCCCGGTAATTATGTAGCCGACTTGTAAAGTTCCCGGAAACATACCAGCTCAGTGGGCGAATTGAACCTTCGGCGACCTCAGGCAGTCCAAGACGAGCACATATCGTCTGGCATGCACGTGCACCGTCCAACCGGCGAAGGAGCAGTCGGCAGTCGCTGCTTTAACTATGAGTCTCCAGCCCCCTGAATTAGCACGTACCGCATGATTCGCGACCGACTGGCATGGACGCCGCTAACACACAACCACTCGCGTACGCCTCCTGCACATCCTGGCAGACGCGCCACGTTCTGACGGTGGCGGTACACGCCCGTGGCCATATCGACCGTACACGTACACGTGACACCGCGCACGCACGGCGCACCTGGGAAAGGAGCCGAGCGAGAATAGAGTAGGGTATATTCTCCAGAGTACATGCACGCACTATATGATACCGCTATTCGACGGCGGCCCCTCCGCCGTCCAAACCTTCCTTCACGAACCATCGTCACCTGTTCCGCACGCACACACCGCAAGAGCGAGAGGGCAAGAAAGGGTCCAAGAGAGTATGTGCACCGCCCCGCGACGCCATCGATACTGAAAGCCCGCGTGCGCGAGGGCGCGCGGGGCCGGCCAATCAACAGGCAATATACGTACAGGAACTATACAGCGAAACCAGTCCGTCGCTCCTCCACAGCCGTGAGCGTGTCTCCGCGCGAAAACAAAACAGGAAGGGGAGAGGGAAGATG